GACGGCGGCCAGGACTACGGCTTCCTGGGCGACTGGGGGCCGCGCTTCCAGACGCTGGCCGACCTGTTCGGGGGCCAGGACAGCGACCGCGACTAGACAGCGGCGACCGGACGAGACAGCGGCGACCCGACTGGACAGCGGTGACCTTGACTAGACAGTGGTGACCTTGACTAGACAGCCGGTGACCTTGACTAGACGCCGGTGACCTTGACTAGACAGCGGTGACCTTGACTAGACAGCGGTGACCTTGACTAGACAGCCGGTGACCTTGACTACACAGCGGTGACCTTGACTACACAGCAGTGACCGCGGGTGTCCATGCGAGCGCGCTTTCTTACTACCCTGGGTGGCCTGTATTCTCTCCCTTGGAGGAAGCTTTTTTAAAAACAAAAATCAAAACGACAAGCAGTGCGTCGGTGTTGTCTTCGTGAGGGGTTTGCTTAATCGCGCAGTTTCTGTGAGTGCACACGAAGGACACAGATTTCCTTATCAAGTCTTAATGCCCTGTCCACCCTCTCTGCCTGAGTCTCTGAAGGAAAGTGTATCCCACCAGTAACCCGTAGAACACGCGTAAAGGCTTCCTGTGCCTTTCCTTAGATACAACTTTATAAATGTTTTCTTAGCTGACTGACACGGTCACCTTTACTATTCAACGAAACCTTGTGCGACTGCTTTGTAAGTTAAAGCGGAGGAAATATATCCCTAAGGAAATAGGAATGACTATTACTGCCATACTTATTTAGTTGAAGAATGTCTTGGTGTTAATTTATTCATATTTTTATAAATGTATATTTATATTTTTGTATTTTTATGAAATAAACCAGTATTTATAAAAATAAATGTCGTTTTGTTTAATTCTTGGAAGCAGTTCTGATATTACTTGCAACAGAAATGTGTTACAGATTTAGAGCTAAAACCTGACTGACGGGAAAAGCAGCTATGTTACTGCATGCGCTTTGGAACTAGAACGTACTGGAACTGTAGAAGAGCTTTAGTATAAATTGTGGTTTTCTGCTTCAACCACTTAAGAATGGACAAGTGCTTATTGAGTCACTGGTATCTACCCATCAATAGCATATGAGACACATTTGGAATAGAAAGTATAAATATAATTGTTAATGATTAACTTTTTTTTTCCGCACAATTCTTTACTATAGGATCAACCAGTGAATTTTGAGAGTAAATCTGTCAGAAATGTTATGTAGGTGAAAAAAAATATCTAAAGTATTCTTTCCCCACCAACAGAAGTTTTCAGAATGAGAAAAAAGAGTTCCAATTTTTTTCTTCACCATCGGACAGAGGTGCCGGGCTCAGTCCCTGGTCAGGGCCCCCTACAAGAAGCAATCAATGAGTGCACAGGTAAGTGGAACAAATCAATGTTTTTCTCTGTCTCTCTCTAAAATCAATCAATAAATAAAAATTTAAAATAAATGAATGAGCCTGGCCAGGCGTGGCTCAGCGGTTGAGCGTCCACCTAGGATCCAGGCGATCAGGGTTCAATCCCTGGTCAGGGCACATGCCCAGGCTGTGGGCTTGATCAATGACTCTCTCATCATTGATGTTTCTGTCTCCCTCTCTCCATCTCCTTTCCTCTCTGGAATCAATAAAGATATGTTTAAAAAAAATTAAAATAAAATAAATAAAATAAAATAAAATAATGAATGAGAATTGCTATATCTAGTAAAAATCAAATATTTGACTACTGATAGTTTTAAAGCCTCTCTCCTCCCTCTTCTCTTTGAGCCCCACATCTAGACAAGCTGATAAGAAAGCCTGTGTGTTCCTTTCTTGGATACAGACAGGAAATCCAAACCTCATAAGTCCTGCCCACAGGAGCAAACTTTTACTAGGCCCAATGCCCAAACCACAATAAAAACCCAGGTCAAGTCTCCTTTCCTTCCTCTCTCTAGCTTGAGACATCCAGCCTGCCCTCTCCAGAAATCTTACTTATGTAAATAATACAGCTTTTCCTATCCCATTGGTTGGTGTGTTTACATGGCATCACCAGACTTCATAGCCAAATGAAACTCTTGGAAAGTCTGAGGGGGTCGATCAACTTGAACAAGTAATCATAAAACAAAACTGTAGTTAACTTTTTAATAACTAAAACTGGTAACTTGGTAAGGTTAAGAATAATCTTGATAACATACATGGAGACTTTATAAACATTTTAAAATAAATAGTTTTATTGCTTTTTTATTTCCATCTTCACAGTACTTCAGATATATTTCCTAATGAGTCTCTTAATCATGAACTTGCTCAAAGTTTAATTTCATTCATATATTAAATTTTTTAGTTGGAACATTCTTGGGGTTTTAATTATAGCATGATGTGCATTTAGCTACTGAGAGTAAGGATGTTGGTAACTGCAGGAGGACAGCTTTACATTCACACACTGAATGTGTATATATGTCCCAAATGTTACTCATCATTTTATAAGGATTATTCACTTAAGTCTCCAAAGTCGTTTATTTAGTTATTATCTTTGTCCTCTATTCAAGGTCACAAGTTACTAAGAGATGAAGCAAAGTTTTGAATCTGGGCAACGCGACTCAGTAGGCTCTGTTGTCAACCAGGATCCTCTCCTGTATTAGGATTATTTTAGGAGACTGAAAACATGGCAGTAGCATTGAGCCAGGAACTGTTCAATCATATTTGCCTCAGAAAAAACAGTCATATACAATTTGCTTAAAAATAAAATAAAATGTCCAGTAAGAGTTTAGGTTTTGACAAAACCCAAAGATACAAAATATTTTTCTTGTAGATGAAAGGGTCTGAAAGTACACAAGTTCTAGAAAGGGACCGTGCCTGAATCTGAAGCCATAATATCTAATAACAGAAAGCAAAAACTAACTTAAAGCTGCAATATATTAAAATAAAATATTAAAAATTTATACTCTGTTATAGTATAAAATAGGTGGCTCATTAGGGTGACACAAGAAAGATTTACTGTGCACTTATAGTGAGCCAAATATGAAGAGAGTGCTTCCCTGCCATTCTTTAATGGCATGAACGTCAAGGAGAGACTGGAGGGAGGAACAGGGATTTTCAGTATTCAAATGCTTGCTATCAAATATCAACACATATAATAATTTTCTTTATAGAAAAGAATACAATGAGGCAAAAGATATTTTACATGGCAATAGATATTAACATGGCAAAATGGTAGAAAAATGTGCAAAAAATAGTCACTAACGGTAAAAACTAAAATGCACCAATACGGATGAGATTTCTGATGCTTAGTTTTCCTTAGATGACAAATGAATTGTGATTGGGGAAATTCCCACAGACTTTTGTATGTTATTACTTTCCTTTAAAAAATAAGTCATATGGAGTGTGTGTCAGATCAGATGTAGTTGCGTTTATTTTGAATCTTCTGTTAAAACTAGCAATAACAGGTAAATTTGTAATTACACTGTGAAGGAAGGTAACAGAGAAGCTTGCCTTGTTGTCTTGCACACGACTAGGGCAGAGGAAGCACTAGAAAACAAGGGATTTGAGGACGGAAGTGGGAGAGTAGGACCTTACATCCTGCATTTTCATATGATGCTTTGAAACCTTGGAAAGGCCACTTGTAAATTAAGCTGTGGAACAAGCAAATGAGGATGGGGCCTAGCAACAATTAAGTCTAATTCCAAACACTTGTCATTAGCCACATTTATTCTAAAGAGAACAATCTGGAACATGGGAACTTCTTAGTAATAGGAAAGAATAGAGAAACAGGCAATTACTTTTTTTTCCTCGGGCCAATGTATACGATGTATGGCTTTTTTTAGTCATGTGCATCCAATGAAACCAAATTCTAGGGGGGAGCCAGAGAGATGTTTTTGACGGTCTTCTGCCCCCTTATAAGTACTTTCTCCAGTGTGATTTTAAATTTGCCAAAATTTTTCAAGTACTGAGACTTTCCAGTGATTGAAAACTTAATCAACTGGCCAGGGAAAAATTAGGAAAACACTGTGCTAAACAGAAGTTCATATATTAATTCCCAGTTACGGATTGCATCTATTTAATAATACATAGTTTTAAAATGTAGAGGGTTGTTCATATATGTTATCTGAGTGTGTTTGTACACTCAGCTTTTAATTTTCATGGAAAAAATCATACTTTGAATTATAAGTTACCCAATGAACGGGAATGAACTATTTGTGAAGCTCACAGTATTCTAAATATTCCCTTTGTTTTCCTTCTTAATGGTAGATTCCTATACTGATGGCCTCAGACTAATAAACTGCCTAACATAAAAAAATGTACCTAAAAGTTCACACTTGTTTTAGTTTCAGAAATGTTGACGTATTTGCTAAATGATATAAAACAACTTATCAAGAAATAGTCATGTACTATGATCTAGTTCTTACTTGGGTATTATCTAGTGAATTACAATAACCTAATGAACAGATAGGAATTTTGATCTAGTGCCACTAAATAAGACACTAGACATGCTATGAATAGGAGAGTTGATTATACTGATCTAAGCATTGGTTAATAAAATGGTGGGGAAGTTATTTCCATTTCATGGTCTGTAAAATTAATTCCTTAACCTTCCAGCTATAATGAAAGATCATATGCATTTTTCATTATTACTCTACTCTCATACTTATTATCATGAAATTATATTAAATATTCTCAACCTTTACTCATTAAAACTTTAATGCAATAACCATCAGTTTTGCTCACTGAATAACAAATTATTTAGAAGCAATGTTAAAAGATATTTAAATGCAAATCTATGTTAAATAAAACAGTGATCTGAATTCCTAAAATATTTTATTTAAAAATCTACTCTAATGCAGTTGAAACTAATAGACCTAAACTGCTTGCTTTTAGTTCATATATGACAAATTAATTAGCATGATATGTTATTTTCAGCAGCTTATCAAAAATATGTTCTATTTACTCTCTAAATGTTATGTTCATCTTCTTTTTACAAATAAACATCTGTGCCACCATGCAACAGAAGTCTATACATAAAATAATACAGTGTTTCAAAAGAAAAACAAATGCGCATTTAATTTTGGGCATCTATTTTTGATAAATTTCTGCATACGTGGCAAAAGTACCTTTGAGAACTGGGATCAAGGATGTGAACTTAAGATTAAGAGGAAATTCTGCTCATCTTTGAGAGAGAAAAAAATCCTTCTACAAATTTCTATGAAGGGTCCAAGAGGAAAAGCAGTAAATGTAAATTGATCAAAAAGAAAAGCCCC